ACGACGAGGACGAGGAGGAGGAGGAGGAGGTGGAGGAGGCGGAGGAGGAGGAGGAGGAGGAGGAGGAGGAGGAGGAGGAGGTGGGGGAGGAGGGACTGCCCGCGGGCGCCGGGGGCGTCCTGCTCAACCGCTCCGGGCGGGCGCAGGCCCTCGGCGCTGACGACGACGACGACACCTTCGACAATGATGACGACGACCCCCTCGACGACGACGACGACGACGACGAGGGCGACGACGAAGACGATGACGAGGAGGAGGAGGAGGAGGAGGAGGAGGAGGAGGACGACGACGAGGACAAGGACGACGACACCCTCGACGACGACGACGACAACGACGACGACGCCAACGGCGAGACGCGCCGAAGGCGAGGCCCTGTCTCGAACAGCAAATCTCGTTGGCAACCCCGCCGGCCGTTGCACGCCTTCCTTGCACGCCCGACCGGCCTCTCGCCGAGACGACTGGGACGCACCAGAGATATACCAATGCTATATGTCCTCCTTGCCTCCTTGGAGGCGCACGTCCGACCCGCACATATAGCATACCCGTCTTGTAGTATATCGTTTCCCGAGCGGTGTGGCCAGAAAGCGCCCGCCACGACGCGTACACTGTAAGATTCCCTGTGGGGGGCGACGCACATATAGAAGAAGTCTGCTGTGGTGACGAGGAACGGCGGCCGTGCAGTGGGCCCAGAACTCGAAGCACTGCCAGAATCGGCGGCGAGCGAGGGGGGGAAGTGAGAAGGAGAAGGCCTTCTCAGAAGGCTCGGAAGCCCCCAGCCTGCTGCGAGGCTTTCTGAGCCTTCCCCGAAGACAGAGAGCCCTTCTCAGAGGTCGCGAGGGCTTCTGAGAAGTCCCGCTCTCCTTCTGAGAAGGCCTTCTCCTTCTCGTCTCCCTCCCTCGCTCGCCGCCGACAGAAGTCAGCAGAGCCTCTCGGGGGCCTCGTGCTGCGGGAGCTGGACGTCGGCGCGTGCGCGAGACTCTCGCGCGAGCGAAGCACGCGGCAAAGGCGCGCGCCTTCTGGCGGGGTGCCCTCGGTGGACGGCGGCCCAGAGACATCGGCGTTGGTCTCCCGTCCGTTTCGGAAGGAGAGGGAGAGAGAAGCAACGGATGGGGGAGGAGGGGAAGAGGGAGGAAGGCACGAGAAGAGGTGACGAAGAGGACGAGGAATAAGATACTGCAGAACACGATGGAATGTGATAGGACGGGCACGTACATACATGTGTGCATGTCTATGTCTATGTCTATGTCTATGCCTTTGCCTATGTATGTGTATATATATATATATATATATATACGTTGCACCCCGCAATGGCGGGTAAGAGTGAGGGGGCGGGCGCGGGCGACGCGCCCGTGGGTGGGGTCGCGGGTGGGTCGCGGGCTCTCCACCTCCACCTGGAAGGAATTCAAAAACAGCCCGCCGCAGGCGCCGAAAATTTTGATTTGTACACTGAACGCGGTTTGGGTCGCGGGTGGGTCGCAGGTTCTCCACCTGGAACGACTGCAAAAGAAACCCGCCGCAGGCGCCGAAAATTTTGGGTGGGTCGCGGGGTGGGTCGCGGGTGGGTCGCGTGTGGGTCGCGGTGGGTCGCGGGTGGGTCGCGGGTGGGTCGCGGGTGGGTCGCCGGGTGGGTCGCGGGTGGGTCGCGGATGTGTCGCCGGGTGGGTCGCGGGTGGGCCGCCGGGGGGGTCTCGGGGTGGGTCGCGGGCGGATCTCGGGGTGGGTCGCGGGTGGGTCGCGGGCGGGTCGCGGGTGGGTCGCGGGGTCGCGGGTGGGTCGCGGGGTGGGTCGCGGGTGGGTCGCGGGTGGGTCGCGGGGTGGGTCGCGGGTGGGTCGCGGGGCGGGTCGCGGGTGGGACGACGACAACGACAAACAACAAACGACAAACAACAAACAACAAACAACAAACAACAACGACAGCATCAACAACACCAACAACAACAACAGCAACAGCAACAAAACCAACAGCAACAGCAGCAACAACAACAACCAACAACAACACCAACACCAACAACACCAACAACATCACCAACAACAACAACAACAGCAACAACAACAACAACAACATCACCGACAACACCAACACCAACACCAACACCACCAACAACACCACCACCAACACCACCAACAACAACAACAATCCGCATCGCGGAATTCCACTTCAGCCACGCACCCAAGGACAGTGAATGACCGTTCGGTTCAGCCCCCTCACTCTGATATATACACATGATACGGGAGAGCAAGCCCCATTCAAAGTCTTCTTGGGGCTATAGGGATATGGGACTGTTGGGCGATATTGCGATTGGGCTATGGGGCTATAGGGCTATGGAGCTGTAGGGCTGTAGGGCCACAGGGCTATAGGTCTTTAGTGTTATAGCGCCATAGGGCTATAGGGCTGTAGGGCTATGGGGCTAAGGGGCTCTGGGGCTCTCGGGCTATAGGGCTATGAGTCTGTAGGGTTTTGTGGCTACAGAGCTGTAGGACCACACGGTTATGGGGTTATTGGGGTCTAGGCATATAGAGCTGTAGGGCTATTGGGCCATAGGGCTATAGAGAAATAACACTAAAGGACTACAAGGATGTAAGGCTATGGGGCTATAGGGCTATAGGGTCATAGGGCTATAGGGCTATAGGGCTATTGGGCTAATGGGATCTGGGGCCATCAGGCTACTGGGCTATAGGGCTATGGGACTTTCGGGCTATAGGGCTACAGAGCTGTAGGGCTCGAGGGCTGTAGGGTTATACGGCTATAAGGCTATAGGGCTACAGAGCTATCGGGCTATGGGGCTTCAAGGCCATAAGGCTGTAGGTCTATAGGGCTATAGGGCTATATGTCTACTGGGCCATAGGGCTATGAAGCACCTGGGCACCCGGGCACCCAGGCACCCAGGCGGGTTGCGGAAATCGGTGACACACCTTATCTAACCATATGAACCTTCTACGACCTGTAAAGATGAAACGTCCTGCTTGGGGCACCTACATGATACAGGAGAAAACATGTAATCAATGGGTTTTTAGTGCTATAGGGCTATTGGGCTGTGGGGCTATAGGGCTACGGAGCTGTAGGGCTGTAGGGCCACAGGGCTATAGGTCTATATGGCTATAGGGCCATAGGGCTGTAGGGCTCTGGGGCTATAGGGCTATATGGCCATAGGGCTATGCGTGTATATGGCTATGGGGCTATAGGGCTGTAGGACCATAGGCCTATAGGGATATAGGCATATAGACCTAAAGGGCTATCGGGCTATAGGGCCATAGGGTTTTAGGGCTATGAGGCTATAAAACTATAAGGCTATATCGCTACAGGGATATCGGGCTATATGGCTATAGGGCTATAGGGCTGTTGGGCGATGGGGCTATACAGCTATTGGGTTATAGGGCTATAGGGCTATGTGGCTATAGGGTTATAGCGCACTAGGTCTCTAGGGCGATAGGGCTATACGACTATAGGACTTTAAGGGCTATAGGGCTACAGGGCTATTGACCTGCTGGGCTATTGGGCTATAAAGCTACAGGGCTCTAAGGCTCTAGGGCTATGAGGCACCCGGGCGGGCCGCGGGAATCGGTAACCATATGAATCCGCTAGGACCCCTACAGAGGCACGCTCTGACTGGGGAATCTGTGCACGACTGCAGTGGCGTTTCGCGCCATGCACCTTGGTCCTTCGAGTTTCGCACGCGTGCGGCGTGCGTGCGCGTACACATGCCCGCGCGAATGTATGACTAGGTGGCTACATGTTATACGCGCGCACGTGCATGTACGCCATACATATATAGACATATAGGACCGTATGCCTACACATGTACGTGCATCTATGTATGTATGTATGTATGTATATATATATGTGTGTAAATACATACGCACGTGCGTGGGTATCTTGATGTACGTGCATCTTCTGTATGCAAGTGTGCATATATGCATATACCCGTGCTTGCCATGCATTCGTAGCATGTCTACTTGGGCAGATGTGCGTGTACACATATGCCTATATACAAGTACGCCGTCATGACCACAAAGGGGGGAGCCAGAAACGCAGTGAAGGGGTCGCGAATGCCAACAGACTTGGGTAGGAGACGGCATGGAGAACACGGCATAATGTGGAACAGCGACCTGGGCTTACCAATGGCCGCGTCTCTGGGGCTATGGAAAGAGCCGTGTGAGGGCCTTGGGGGGCCTCGGGACCGTGTCGCAGCGGAGCTCGATTATCTTAACGCTGCAAATTGTTTTGCGCCGCCGCACGATCTTAGGAAGCCTCGGGTTCAGAGTGTTAACGTCACGTGGACCTTATTGGAGCCTCCTGGAGCCTTTTGAGGGCCTCTGTGGGGCGTGGTGCAGTCCTGTTATGCCTGGACCCGTCTTGGCGCGCGTATTGGCTCTGTTGGGCTGTCTTGGAGTCATGTTCGGGCTCCTGGCCCGTTTTGGGCTTGTCTTGGGAGCATTTTCGGGCGTGTTCGAACTGATGTAGGGTCCTTGCATGATCTTTTGGGACTCTTGGAGACCTCTTGGGGCTTCCTGAGGGCCTCTTGGGGCCCTCTTAGGGCCTCTTCGGGGCCTCTTGGGAACCTCCTGGGGCCTCCTGGGGCCCTGTCGGGACTGTCTGGGGGGCCCTCTTGGGCCAGTTTGGGGTCCTCTTGAGCTGGTTTGGGGCCTTCTTGGAGGTCCGTCGGGCCATCTTATGGCTATCTTGGAGGCTTCGTGGGCCGTCTGGGAGCGTCGGGAAGCCGAAAAGAGGAGACCTCAAACATCCACTGCAAACTAATGAATTTTGCATCGTGGGGCCCTCTTGGGAGTGCTCTGGGAGGCCTCTTGGGACGTTTTGGAGCGATCTCGAACTTCTGTGGGGTCCTTGCGGGATCTTTTGGGACTCTCGGGGACCTCTTGGGGCTTCCTGGGGGCCTCTTGGGGGCCACTTAGGGCCTCTTCGGGGCCTCTCTGGAACCTCCTGGGGCCCTGTCGGGACTGTCTAGGGGCCCTCTTGGGCCTGTTTGGGGCCCTCTTGGAAGTCCGTCGGGCCATCTTAGGGCGATCTTTGGGGCCTCGTGGGCCGTCTGGGAGCGTCGGGAAGCCTAAGGAAGCGCTCTAGGAGGCCTCTTACGACGTTTTGGAACGACCTTTGGGGGTATGACGGCTCCTTTGGGGTCGTCGTCGACTGTCTTGGGGCTCTCTGGGGTCGTTTCGGGAGCGCGCCGGGATGTCGCGGGCCCTCTGGGGCCGTCTTCGGGCTCTCGTAAGGTCCTCACAAGTCGTCTGCGAGGCTGCCCGAACGGCCCGGGGTGGGCCAAATTCGTTAGATGGGGGGGGCGCTTTTTCCGGGGCCCCCAGCCTTATAACAAAATATGAATAAGAATATATGCACATGTGTGTGCACATATGAATGTATACACGCACGTCCGCCACGGTGCCGCTGGGCACGGAGCGGGCATGTCCTCAGGTCCATTGCCTCATCCCCTGAGCCTCAATCCTCGATCCTGAGGGTTCCTAGAAAGGGCCTAGACACTGAATTCACAAACCTCCTTGGGCTCGCTGCGTGCCCCCTGGGCCAAGGACCGCCTTCTTTCTCGCGTGACTTTCGGGCCCCAAGAGGCCCCCAAGACGATCCAAGAGGGCCAAGAGTCGCCGAACGATCGCTCCAAAACGCCCAAGATACCCCCAAGACGGCCCAAGAGGCCTCCACGACACTCCAAGACGCCTCCAAGAGGCCCCCCAAGAGGGTCCCAAGAAGCCAAAATCATTGATTCTCTATTGTTCCCAACCATCCTGTGGTGTTGGGTCATCGTTTTGAAGACGGCCCCCGCGTTCCTCTTCTCCTCCTCTTCCCCCTCCTCCTCTCCACCGCCCGTATGCGTCCCCAAGGCCCCAGTGCCACCGCCCGCATGCGTCCCCCGCACCCAATGTGGCATGTTCACTCACCCACTACAGCGTTTCGTGGCCCCATAGGGAGCTCCACCGAAGCCCCCAGTGGGACCGCCCGCATGCGCCCCCCACGACCAATTTGGCATTTTCACACACCCGATGCAACGCTTCGTGGCCCCATAGGGAACTCCACCGAAGCCCCGCGTGGGACCGTC